AATCAGTTCCTTAACTGTGGAGAATGCTTTTCTTGCGGTGTCGTCCAAATTAATGGATTTCGCATTTCCACGAAGTTGGTCGGTCAGCGGTTTCATAAGTAATGCGCATTTCGGTATGAAACGTCTATAGAAACTTACGAGGCCGTTAAACGTGCGGAATTGCTTGACGGTGGTCGGTTCTGGGTAATCCAGAATGGCCGCCACTTTGGTTCTAAGGGGTCAGATACCTTGAGCATCGATAGTGTATTCTAGGAAGTCTAACGAGTCGGTTCTGAATTGGCATTTCTGAACGTTTACAGTTATGCCATGTTTTTGTAGTCGTTCGAAAACAAGATCCAGATGCTTGAGATGTAATTCTCTGTCCGGACTTGCGATTAGGCAGTCATCAACATACGCATGTACAAAGTTGAGACCTCGAAAAACGTCGTCTATGAATCTTTGGAATGTTTGAGCAGCGTTCCTTAGACCGAAAGGCATTCGCAAAAACTCATAGAGTTCGAAGGGAGTTATGATAGCTGTTTTCGGAATGTCGTCAGTAGCCATAGGGATTTGGTAATACGCTTTACCCAAGTCGATTTTAGAAAAAACAGTTGTACCTTTCAAGGTAGCTGTCAGATCGTGAATGTGAGGCAACGGGTAACGATCGGGATTGGTTTTCGCGTTCAATCGCCGATAGTCACCAGTTGGATGCCAATCGTTGCTGTCCTTTTTAGGGACCATGTGCAACGGAGATGCATATGGGCTACTTGACGGTCGTATGATTCCTAAGTCTATCATGTGATCGAATTCGTTTTTCGCTAACCTGAGCTTTTCAGGTCTCATCAGCCCTTGTGGTTTGGTGTGTGACGAAATCTCAGCACGGATACAGAAGGCTCGACTAGCTTTTGCCAACTTGCGTCATTTATGGCGTAGGCGAGATATCCGTCTACCAACCAAAGGACGTGTTTACTGCGCAGCAGTTCGTTCCGTCCTACTTTATGGCAGTGAAACATGGCCGGTAAAAGTAGAGGATATTCGTAGGTTACTAGTATTCGATCATAGGTGTCTTCGACACATTGCTCGTATATCATGGGACCATCGAGTAAGCAACACAGTTGTTAGGAAACGGGTACTAGGTAAGGATGGCAAATCAATTGATGAAGTAGTGAAACTTCATCAGTTGAGATGGCTGGGACACGTGTTACGTATGCCGAACGACCGACTACCTCGACGTGCTATGTTCAGTGGTATAGGAGTAGGTTGGAAGAAAGCTAGGGGCGGCCAAACCAAAACATGGCACAAGTCCATGAAGTCACCGACAAGTGGACTGAGTCATGTTGGTAGGTGTAGACTATGTGGTTGGGGACCGCAGGATGATAGCAACCGATGGTAAGAGACCCTGAATGACATGGCTCAAAATCGTTTGCAATGGCGCAGGTGCATCCACTCTCTATGTTCTCCCAAATTCTAATCTTCTGAATTCTTCATGTCCCTTATTTTCTTTCCAAATTTATTTCACTGGATTATACTCCTTGAATAACATCTCCAAACCCTAATCTTCCCGATTACTGCTTATACTCTTGCTACCTCTACCACTACGGGATTTGAATCGACAAGTGCATCTCTGTGCTAATGTGGTATGGCAACTCGAACTGATGTACGTACGTACGAAGTTCTACGTTGTTACTGACTGACTGAGCTTTTCAGGAGCTAGTCGTCGTGCTTTAGACAATACAGGTGGTCCTGTAGTCGTGATGTGATGTGTAACGTTGCTGGTTACACACGGTAGTTTCGGTTGAGTTTGTTGTATCCCAGGGTATTTATCGAGTAGTGGCTGATAGAGTGGGTCTATCATATGCTTAATTGTGACTGGGGATAATTTGCAACCAGAAAAGGAAGTTACGCAAACGGATAAATTAGTGTTTCCGTCTACTGGCCTCCGTTTGCGCGTGTCGATGATCAGATTATGGTGTTGTAGAAGGTCCATACCAATGATTGGCATAGAAACATCTGCAACAACGAAAATCTAGTGAATGGGTTTGCGTAAACCCACGTTAAGGTAAACGTACCTTTTGCCATACGTAGCGATAGGTTTTCCGTTTGCCGCCTGTAAGTTTAGAGCCGATTCGTTAAGCCGGTCGTTAGGATTTGCTGGGAGAACGCTAACTTCTGCGCCAGTGTCGACGAGGTAGCGAACTCTCGTTGTCACATCTGTGACGTATAACAGACGGCTATGTTCGCCGGCCACGGTTGCCGTTAACGCGTGCCGGCTTGGAAGTTTCCCGAGTTGTTTTTCGAGTCAGTCGGTTTCGTGTTGGGAAAATTGCAGGGTTTTCTGCAATTTCTGGAAAACTTTCCATACTGGTTATGATACCAGCACCAGTCGGGGTTATCTGTCTCTCGTGGTCTAGAGACAGATCGCTTACGTGAAATGCTTCTACGTGGAGTGCGCGATCTCTTACGGTCGGTACGAAGACTAAGATAACGCGTGAGTGTATGACATAAATCGGTTATATCATTGTGAGTCGTTTGAGGCTTTTCTTTAACTGAAAATACCTCGGTAGTAGAAGGTTTCGTAATTTCTAAAATGCGGTCGGCAGATGCAGCTAGCTCGTCTAAGGCGTTGTTCTGGAACGAGACCAGAACTGCTTGCACCTGTTGGGGAAGTTTTGACAAGAAGTGTTGTTTGAATAGACCTTCGTCGAAAGTTCTTGGGCCTATAACCTCTCTCATCCGTTGCAACATGTCCGTCGCAGAACCGTGTTGCAGGTCGATGTTATTGAAGAGTTGATCTAACCTTTGTCGATCGGTTAGGTCTCCTCGTTTAAGAATCGAACGTTTCAAGGTTTCGTAAGGTTCAGAAACATCACTAGTAAACATACTAGGTGTTACGTACCTGTTGAATTCGCGCGGTAGTGCCTTGACTACTGCGAGGAATTGTGCACGTGTGTCGATCACGCCGTGCTCGGAGAAGTCGGCTTCTGCGTAGCAAAACCAAGCTTCGATGTTGTCGGGCCAGAAAGGCATCAGTTGAAACGAAGGTGGGGACAAGGTCTTAAGCTTGAGTACTTTAGGTGTCTGTTCAGCCATGATGAAATATGAAGTACGATAATGAACGAGGGGAAAAAAATATATATCCAAGAAAAAATACGAAAAAAATCACAATGTTTAAAACAAAAATAAAAAAATAGGGCAATGATATATAAAAATTCCAAAAAGGAACAGACTCACAGTTGCAATTAGGTGTACCAGATCACGTCGGTCTCACCAATGATGATGTCACAGGTATTCAGTGTTTGACAACGCTTTTACCAGTAACACCCTCTAATATATTTCGTTCCCACCCAGAGAAATCAAAAGACAGAGTCGAGGAGATCGGAAGAGTATATTTGGCGATGACCAATATATCGGAATTCTCTGATCTAATCTGGCTAGCGATTGCGGTTGATGTTGAGCACGGCGTTACCACACGTGATCTGGGGCGGATGCATGACCGAGCGCCTTTAGCTAGATGAGTCCACTAAAACATATGGTCAGCATCCAATGTCGAAAACTTAGAGCCATTTATTTTGGGGATTTATTTACCGCTACAACATGATAAATTAACTAGAGAACATTGGTTGTAACAGGTAGTCCCACGCTCCACCGTGACTGCGCGAAGATATAAATAAAGACCTATTGACTACTAGTCTGGTTTCTTCTACCAATAGCACGAGGGTTATCTACAGGCACGAAATGGTTATATAAATATACAATCGGTCACCATTGAATAACATCAAACATCCCTAAAACCATATGGGGGACGTTCTGCAAAGTCAGTCTCACAAAACAAAGGCTAATAATTTACAAAGCATCAACTAAAATTATGATGGTCCAATATGATGAGTGCATTTAAACAGTCTTTAGGAAAACAGAGCTTAAGCGGTTACTGAAAGATTCAACAACATCTAGGATATAGTCACGATGTGAAATTCGTAGACAACATGTTAATAACTGCATTCAATCTCAAGAATGGGAATCAACATACAAGATACAGATGGCGACAAGAAAAAAGTGCACTGTAGGGGCTGGTACCATGTCGATCCCCCATAGGTTATTCTAGCTTCCGGACAGACCAATTTATTCATTCTACTTAAGTCACATTTTGATGTTGTTAATTACTCACTTATTAACCCTGACTGTTTTTATATGAGCATATGTGTGGGCATTTCCTATCTTAATCATCACATACCTGTAACTTATGTTCGTGTGACTATAAATATCGATTAACGCCTGATTAAATGGAGTTGGCTTACATGACTTCTTCATCGCTCGTAATTTGGCTTCGCTCTCTTCGCTTCTCCGATCATTTGTTTGGACCAGCGATTGCATGAAATACATGCATTCGAAATCCGTTCTCTTGTCTGACTTATTTAATTCCGTCACTCACTAACTTAAGTTAGGTCGATAATTATATACGGGATTGATGACATCTATATTTCTAAAGCAATCAATCATACAATCTAAATGGAGTCAGACTTAGGGCGTCACAACATACTACTGAAATACAGAGGACTAGTTGCAAGAAAACACAGATATGGGGGAGTTCCTCCATATATGCATGTGATAATACAAAGACAGATCTTACAAGGATTTTATTTTCTCTCATTAATTATTAGTTACTACGGGACAGCTAATTGCATTCCATCCCTCCCACTAGTATTGTTTGTATATCACACCAATTCCCCAACGTCTTTATTCTGCTCGTCTCATACACCTAGATACGTACACAGAGTCATCAGTGGTTTACTGCTAGTAGGCTTGAAAGCTTATTAACCGAAGTTTTCTTCTGTCCTGCTACAACCACTTGAATAATTTGAGTTTCTAATCTTTTCTTCAATCAGGACTTACGTATGTTAGTATTTGTAATTCACAGTGTATGTTTGTTCGACGGCTCATTAGGTAGAATTTAATTCATGTTATTTATGATCCCTTGGATCATCATTATGTTTTATTTACGGTTGCTATGACACCAGTAGTTACCAGGGGGTGGTTTAAACATGACACTTAACACACAGGATGAATATAGTGAGGATTTTTTTTACATTTGTGATGTATATTTTGTTCAGGGATTAAAAAAGAAGATATTGAATTGTACAAAAAAATAAGGTATTGTGGATTCATTGTTGTTTCAAGAATATGGAACATAGGAGGGAAGTTGAACAAGAATTCATGGCAAAATATGAGCCTGTGGATTATAGATCAGTGACCAAAATTGATTTTCATAAAGACGCAGTCCGGTTACCTCCAAGGCCCGAACCAATGGTAGGTCTGTTCAAAATGAGCCAGAAGTCACTTATTTTAAGCATTTATAATCCTTTAATTAAATTATAAACATTTAATTAAGTGTATTTGTACCTGTGACCTGTAACACATCCAAGGGATATGTAGAAAGTTTCAAGCCTTATCATTCTACACAATGAGATATCTCATTGCATATTCAACAAACCTTTCAAATAAAGGGTATTCTCTTGTTAAGTTACATATATGTCTTCAGTCTTCAGTAATAAGGATAGTAGGTTGGTGAACCTGTATTAATCCTGACACATTGCTTTCCAGTGAAGGTCCAACTTCTCCTTGAAAGTATTCACTGATGGGGCTGATAACACTTGTTCGGGTAAGGAGTTCCAATCATTGACTACTCGATGAGAAAAACGGAACCCCAATTTAAGTTTATTAGATCGTGGTTTATGAACCTTTTTGCTATGACCTCGGAGATTATTAGTGCTGGAGGGAGCAAAAAGATAAGACATATTAACACCCAAATCATAATTAAAGATACGAAATGCCAGTATAAGGTCACCTCGTGTCCTACGATACGACAATGGGAAAAGATTTAGGCGTTTTAAACGCTCATCGTAAGGGAGTCTAGAAAGACCCTTCACTAATTTCGTTTCTACACGCTGGACACGCTCGAGGGAGTTAATATCCTTTACCAGACACGGGCTAGCAGCTCGGATACAGTACTCTAAATGTGGTCTAACATATATGGGATATAAAATTCGAAACGTTTCCTCGTCAAAAGATTTGAACGCTCGGTGAAGTGACCATAACGCACAAAAACCTTTGACAGCGCCTGCTTTGCAATGCGTAGTTGTTTTTAAATCATGACTTATTACTCCTAAGTCTTTATGTTCTTGAACGCATGGAAGAGGTTTACCCTCAATAGTATAACGGTAACTATTACCGTGACCGATGTGCATTAACACACTCTTCCTAGCATGGATTTCTAAGCCCCACTCTCGAGCCCATCTAACTAAATCGTCTAAGTCAGCTTGAAGATCCAGGTGATCAGCCGCACTTTTTATTGTTCTCCAGATTTTTACATCATCCGCAAACAATAATGTCGACGACCTAAGTAACCGCGGTAACTCAGTAACGTAGAGAAGGAAGAGCAGAGGGCCTAAGATGGTGCCTTGAGGTACACCACTTTTGACCGGCTTCCAATCGGATAGCGTTCCGTTGACCCTCACTCTCTGTCTGTGGTCACATAGAAAGTTTCCTATCCACTCCTGTATAGTACTTATTATTCCGAAGCTCGTGAGCTTCTGCATAAGACCTACGTGTGAAACCTTGTCAAATGCTTTGCTAAAATCTATGAATATCACATCGACAGACAGACCGTGATCCAGAGCTGCTGTCCAAATCCTCTGTCGCAATAAGCAAGTTAGTCAAGCATGAACGCTTGTTATGAAATCCATGTTGCTCAGGAGCTAACAGATTGTGTGAATCCATGTGGCTTAGCAACGTAACCCGAATTATCTTTCAAGTAACTTAACGACTATGCTAGTTAGACTGACAGGCCGGTAGTTAGATACTATCTGTCGCTGACCGTCCTTAAATATAGGACTAACTATAGCGTTCTTCCAATCTCTAGGGAGTTGAGCGAGTGAAAGGGACATGTTGAAGAGTGTCGCGAGCGGTTTTGAAATAATGTCCGCAAGAGATGACAGCAACCGTGGATGTAACCCATCAGGGCCCGGTATCTTACCAGGTTTGAGGTTAGTTATCAACGGAAGGACAGTTTCCTCAGTCACTTGTACAGATTCAATAGTTGGTATCGCGGTGTGAGTGGGACAAGTATTTGTTATAGTAGACGTAGAGAAGACTTCGCTAAAATAGTCTGAAAAAGTCTCAGCTTTTGCTCAATCTGATTCAGCTAGTGATTCTGAATTTTCGTGTAACAGCAACGGGGGAATACCATCACTAAGTTTCATTTGCCGTTTAACATACGAAAACAATCGTTTCGAACAAGTACGGCTATCATATACTAACTGTCGTTTTCTTACAGATATTACGGAATTTTTGGTACTCACGCTTAAATGGTGCATGGCCTGTCAACAAGAATAAGTTCCAGAAATGTTTCCTACGCTTTAACAGCTTCCGGGTTTCCTTATTAATCCATGGAGGGCAATGTGATAGCTTACGTGCTCACCATGGGATAAGCGGCGACGTTACGGACTCGAATGTAGCCTTAAACTTATTCCATTCATCTTTGATCAATCCATCCGCGTCGACCGACCAATCAGTCGAGATAGCACAGTTTCTGATTTCCGGAATATTGGCTCGCCAGATATTGGGATGGGGTGGAGCAGATACGAATTGTGGACCATGTGTCCTAAACTTAAAGGGAATTACAACGTGATCACTGTTAACTAGTGGAGGAAAGTGCTGAATACCGAAGACATCCTCACAATGGTGGGTGAGGGCGAGGTCCAGCAGTGACGGATCATGTTGCAAATCAATATGTGTCGGTTTTGTGATACATTGTACAAGTGCACACTGAATAATGGTAGATAAAAGGTCGCTATCGAAACCACTACCTGGAGCTGTAAGCTCTATTCGGCTGATATGCGGTGCGTTGAAGTCCCCAATGATGAGACAACACTCTGCCATACTCCAAGAACAGATGTGTCTTAGGATACAGTCGTCAGCAAGGCAAGACGGACTACGGTATCTTCCCCCTATAGTCACTAACCCATTTCTAGATTTAATCTTACAACATGCAACCTCACATGTGCCACTGATATGAGCCTCTGATATGGTTGATTGTATACGAAAGTGATCCCTAACGTATAATATTATACCTCCCCTTTTGCGATTTGAAACTCTATCACTTCTAATACAGATATAACCAGCAATGAAAGGAGAACAGTTTATATCAACGATGAACCAAGTTTCTGTAACAACGATTATATCGGGACAAAATTCTTCCACCATCAGACTTAGCTCGGACGTTTTATTTCTAAGACTACGAGCGTTCGTGTAGCACACACTTAAGGTGTTTTGGAAATCAATCGTTCTACCCATACAGGCCTCGGAAGCATTGGCTTCCAAGACCTGACTACCCGAAAACCCTTAATGGTAAGGTTATTTTCGCCATTTAACTTGCGAGTCCTCAACTCCGTAAGAGCATTCTTCCACTTGATTCAATCCTCAAGCGGCCAATCTGGTCGAATACGGATATTTGAGTCACGAGTTTTTAGTGCGCTTTTCAATAATATGTCTCTTTCTTCAAAACTCAGTCAGTCAGTCAGTCAGCTACAACGTAGGACCAGGCAGATATGTGCATCGGTCCAGGTTGCCATACCTCATTAGCACAACAAGATGAACACCGGATTCATAGGAGTGGTTAGGTCAAAGGTTGCAATAAGGATATAGTATAGGAAGGAAGAATTAGTTCGTAGAAAGAAAGATATGAAGTGATTTTAATCTCTTAGTTTAAGGGAAGACAAAGAGTGTATACACCGACGCCATTGTGATCGATTCTGAGCCATGTCACCAAGAGTCTCCAACCATTGGTTACGAAAGTCACGCGGACCCCAACCAAGTAGTCTGCATCTACCAACATGGCTAAGACTAGAAGTTAGTGACTTTAAGCACTGATGCCACGTTTTGGTTTGGCCGCCCCTAACTTTCTTCCAACCATCCCCTACACCGGTTAGCATTGCACGTCGTGGTAATCGGTGTTCAGGCATACGTAATACGTGGCCCAACCATCTCAGTCGATGAAGATTCACAACCTCATCAACTGATTTACCATCATTCCCTAATACCCTACGTCTAACCTCACTATTACTTACCCGGTGATCCCAGCAGATGTCAGCAATATTTCTAAGGCATCTGTGGTCAAATACTTGTAGCTTACGGGTGTCTTCTACTCTTAAAGGCCATGTTTCGCTGCCGTAAAGTAAGACAGAACGGACTGCCGCGCAGTATACTCGTCCTTTTATTGATAGACGGATATCTCGCCTCCGCCAAAGGTGACGTAAGTTGGCAAAAGCCAAACGAACTTTTCGAATCCGTGCTGAGATTTCGTCAAAACTCCCGGGAACCAGCTTCAGGATTCTTCTTGGTTGGGTCTCGCCTCCAACTCATTTACCAAGTCGTATTACTTTTGTAATATGTACCCCTAAAACCTCTCCAGGTAGCACATTTCTTATCACAGACTCCACTAAATGCAGGTCATGTGCATGTCTTCTAGCAGGGTCGTTGTGTTTCGACTCCTCTAGATTCCAAATAATTAAACTAGGGAGGGGTTTGGCTTCTTTTGAAACTGTGTTCACAGCTTTCGACCGTGACGTTAGATCCTGTATTTTAACTACTGGTATCCTACGGTTAGTTTTTATTTTAACAGAGTCCTGAGAGTCAAGCGAATGACTCACAACAATGTTAGACGAAGCTTTACTATGGGACTTTGGCGGAGTGGTCTGAGAGTCCACCTAGGACTTATCAAGTAAATGGCCATTAGTTTAGCTGTCTTTCCTACTCTTCTGCGTTTCCGTGTCATCCATATTCCATCAGTCGTAGCATCCACATTAGAACCACGCGGGACAGTAATTGTTTTATCTGGGTCACCGGTTGCTGCTGTAGCAACATGGCCACCAATATCTAATGAGGTATCACTCATTGATTGTTTCGGGGTAGACGGTTTAATAGCGGGTTGCACAGTTAGATGTTTGGCTTACGCCGTGACAGCACTCACGACACCAACGCAATCTTCGCCATCAGTACCAATGTTGCCAGTACAGCCCTCATCAACCTTCTTATTAGCCAACACCAGGAGACTAATTGCTTTCTGGATAAGCAATGTTTTGCTCGAGCAACAAAACATACAAAGCCAATGAGAGTTGGGCTTTGATCACCTTTTATATGCAGTGGGGCTTAATCGGGTGCACATCTTATGGAACCACTTATTACACTCATCACATTGCATCCCTTTCTCCACGGGAAATAAGCAATATGGTTGTCCACATTTATGAGCAGATCTAGCCATCTTGAAAATCAACTGGAACGGTGACAAAAACGGGATATGTAAAAGGATTCTCAAACCTTAACTAAATAAATCAAGTAAAAGTCGACCAAGTATGCTTCGATGCAATAAATACACAAAAGCAAAATCGAAACACTCAATACAATATCACTTTAACTGGGGTAGATGCAATTAAAGTGTAAACAGTAGTTTTGATGCGTAATTTACGATCAAAACAGTTAATTAACTCAACGAGAAACAATACCACTGTCCTTTTAAATAGAGCGCGACTGCGATAGACTAAACCAATCAGCAGTTCTTGTACATTGCATTTCAAGCGGCAACTAACTAATTCATGCATCTCACTCTCATGCGATACACTGTCGATAATGGCAAACGGAATAGCATTCCTAATGAATAGAGCTACTCCCCCTCCTTTATGCTTTTGTATTTTGTCGGCCCTTACTAACGTAAAACCCTCGAAATCAAGTTCCATACTATCTATAACCTGTGTTAGCCAGGTTTCTGTAACTGAGATTATGTCTGGCTTCGCAGAGTCAATCTGTACACCTAGTTCCGATCGCTTATTAAGCAAGCTTCGGATATTAGTGTAATAGATCCGAAGCCTATTTAAGTGGCTTCGTGATTCACTCAGAGTGGCTTCGGCATCATTCTCTGCCGAAACCTTACGACCCGAAAATTTACAATTTTTAGGTCCTCTTCGCCAGCGTCTAACCTAAGTTGTAGTTCTTTTTCGGCTTCCTGTCTTTTTACACGGTTTGCCAATGATAAGTCCTTACGGATGAAAATTCCTGAACCCTTTAATTTATGTCCATTCTGTAAAATTAAGTCGCGTTCATTCGAAGATTTGAATACTACTTTAAGCAGTCTGGATTGATTTGGTTTCAAGTTCGCTAGACTCCCCAGTCTGTACACCATTAGCAAGGTGACCCCGGTGATATTTTGAGGCATGGGTTTATTAAGCAGCTGCTTAATCAGCACAATGTCATGCTCAAAACGAGCTTTTGGTTCAGAACTCTCACTCTTCTTGATTCTATGAAAAATAGCTGATCTGTCGCTATGATCAGCTTTCGATTTTTCGACTACTTTTACGGGGGCAGGATTCCCTTTTATATCGTTATGTTGTTTCTTCCTTACAACCTGTATCCATTCGTCAACGGTGCTAGGAGAAGCAACAACAGTTGCATCAAACCTACTGTTGGATTCCGGAGGATTGTCGACGACCTGGGAGGTCAGGTTATGTTTCCCGCTAGAAACCGATCGAACCTTGCAATTGCGGCTTCTAGGCGTTTTCTGCTGGATGCCATTTGGAAGACGGGGAACAGAAGAACCTTCTTTTCCTGAGTTGTTGTTTAAGACAGACCTCTTTGGAAACTGTTTTTCTCCTTTGATCGGTGTTAGTCGCCTATTTTCGAACCCACCTGAGTTTGCTTCATATCAATTCGCACCATAATCGTTATTAAAGATATGAAATGTCAATATAAGGTCGCTTTAGCTTCCTATGGTACTATAAGGGAGAATGGTTCGGGAGTTTTAAGCGCCCATAGTAAAGAAGTTTCGAGCGATCCTTCACCATCTTTGCACCAACATGCCGAACACCCTCGAGTGTGTTAGTATTCTTAACAAGACATGAACCGCCTGCTTGAACACAGTAATCTAGGTCTGGTCTCATGTAATTGAAACATAAAATTTGAAAAGTTTCTTCGCCAAAACACTTGGATACCTGATAAAGCGACCATGATGCTCAAATGACATTTTTTCATCAAACTGGTATGGTAGAAACCTTCAATAAACTACCCTATTAGTTCAGCACATATAGTAAAGCAGCGCTGCCTATAGTGAGGTTTGTCTCCTGGATTGAAAATTAAGGGTGCTACAAGTATTTAGAGTTTGACAACGCCCTAACCAGTAACACTTTTCATAATCAAAATGTGTCAACCCAGTCAAATCAGAAGTCCAGAAGCGATGAGGTTCTAAGAAATATTTGATAAGCTGTTCATATATCGAGAAGTGGTCAATCTAAGCTGGCTAGTGCTTGTAGGAACTATGAAGCACGGTATACCCACTAGTGATCTGGCGCGAGTGCATGACCGAGTGCGCACAGTTAGGTGAGTTTATTAAAACTAATGCGGTCAGCATCAAATGTCGAAGACTTACAAAGTTATTGATTTTACCGCTACAAAATAAAGTCCGTCTCTTTATATCATGCAACTCTACCGATGACAGTAACATTTTACAGTCATCTAAGCTTTACTCAGCTTATCACAAACTGACTTTCTTATGTTCATAGACACTAATTGTATTTGGAGTGAGACAATATTTTTGACAAAACTTCCGAATCAGAATGTTTCTGGTGTCACTGGAAACCCTTAAAGGACTGCTCAAGGAAATGTTTCAATTTCCTCTACTTTAGGTAAATTCCACTCGTCAAGACTTCTTTTATGGAAGCATTAAAATAATCTTTCACACAAGGTTATATATTGCCTTTATCACAGTGAGGTTGCATAACATTTCCTATTTTAAAATGGCAGCGATTGAACTGCGTTTAAAAATTAAGTGAAAGAATGAAGTTTCAAGCTGAAATCTGACATTAGTATGAAATATAGATAATAAATTGATTTGCACCTTATTAAGTGTGAGATATGAGCATTGCTAGTCATATATAAGTAAACAGCCTGAGTTACGTCCACATCTAAGCTACCTGGACCAAGTCGACTAAATGTTTACATCGAAAGTTGTAAATCCGCATCTTTTCATAGCGTAATTTATCACTTGATTGATTAACTCACGAAACTTAAACTAAAGTGGAACTCTAGTCAAAAAGAATATTTTACACAGAATAAGACAGTCAACAAGTATATCCATAAGTTCAAAAAATGCAAAATAAGATTTGTTTGCTGGTTTGGGGCTTAATTGTTCCATGTGTTGTTATGACAGATGCCATACATTCGTAATATTTCTAACATTTGTGGTATAAAAATGAGTATTCAGAAACAAGAAGTCAAATATACCTATCCTGGATGATTCTTCAAGATACACAGCTTGGTTTCATAAAAAACCTAATGTTACTATGCAATAAATCTAAGTTGAATAAAAAATTTAGCATAAAATTATTCCCAATCTTCATCGATATATCCTCTGTACCGACAGGCTAAAATATTATAGTTGATCAACTTATAAGTCACTCGGAAAGTTTTAATATATTTACTTTTTGGGACTTAATTTCAGCTCATGATAATTTAGGTTTACACATCTCTTACCTAACTAGCAAACTTTAATTTCAAGTTATCTCAGAAGATTCTTTGCTAATGAGATCATACAGAGTGTTACGAATCCACGTAACCAGTAACTTTAACTACTGAGTCCTAGACATATGGATAATTCAGAATCCTACTTCTAGGTTTATGGAATTAACTGAATTGGTGTTGTGAGATCTCTTTTGATTTGCAACCTCAGGATTTTATTTACATATTTTGACACTTTTCTTAAGGGCTATTATCTCAGGGAAGAATACTTCAGATCACGAAATCATTGAAGGTCAGAGTGGTTTTTACTGATTTTCTTTCGGGTGAGGAGTAGAATACATCTGAAACAATTTTAGTCACTTTTTAGCTACTTATCATGTTTCAGTAGTATAAATTATTTTTGATTAGAATGTAGAAGCAACCACGTTTCGTAGCGGTGGTTTCCAATTCGATTTTGTAATTCTTTACAAAATTTGCGAAGTGCCCCTAATCAACCCTTCATTATAAACCTTCTTAGGGATGAATTTTAAGCGCCTACTGTTTCACTTTCGAAACAATTTTTTAGAGTCGATGTTGATGAAACTTCTTGATCTCAAGGATCTACTCGAATAAGTTTGTTTTCTGTTCATCAAAATTATCTTAAAGAGTCAGAATACTAAATAAAGATTCAAATGCAGATTTAGTGGTTCACTTTACTTTTACTATAAATTATGACAATTTGATGAATGCTTTAAATACTTAGAAAGATTTTATCAGATGAACACTATTAACAATCTAATTTCTCGATATGATTGTGAATAATAATAATAATAATGTTTATCCCCTTTAATCTCCACATTGTTCACCTTCAATTTCTCTGAATCTCAAATTTTTAGCTTCATGAAATGGTTAAAGAACAACCGGTTACATTTTGGACAGAACACAGGGATAAAATGCATGTAAATTTAACTGGTATTTTGTAGCAATTTGTCATAATTTACTCTATGAAATTACTTAATAACTTTATTAAATCCCAATGAATTAGCACCAATAAAAATTTTACTTAGTTTTGTTTAAATGTATCTCCTCTCCTTTCTAACTAATTGACTATTGTATTTATAAAGAATATCAAGAGACCTTTGATTGTGATCATTAAATATTAAACATATCACATATAACACTCAGCTATTTCATTAAAAACAAATAAGTGAAAGTTAAAGCAGGATATACAGAGAAGGATAAAAATGAAAAGCACTCTTTATGTGTCTGAATGCTATCATTGATGCACCCTAGAGTGTTTTATGGAAATCCTGAATATAGAAGATAACTATGTAATATAGTTGGAGACTTCATCGTCTGACTTAGTTGTTATAGGGCTTGCTTATGTATACCTGTACGTTATTTTACGACAACGATAAATAAATGTTAAATGATTAAATTTTATACAGAACCGTTAACGGAACGCATGTTTTGCCGTTTCTCTTTATTTCGAATATGATACTTGAGATTATTGTCCATACCACATATAGAGTTCATTCATTCAAATTATGAAGTTAGTTTTAATAAGTCGTTTTGTTATATTATTTCAAATCTATAGTCCTGGTTTCATTCACCTAAATGAACGTGGGAAAACACTTAAATGACTCAATAAAAAGATTTAATTTAATGTATCGCACATATTTTTAATGATCTTTCGTCTTTATTTTTAATCAGTGTTCTTCCCAGTTACATTCTTCCCATCATTGCCAAGTTTAGTTTACAGTTATATGAAATGTAGATGTGTCAGTTCTTAGTTTTGCATACACTATCTTTCATCGACCTTAAATTAAGATCGTTACTTTCACTATAGCGACCAATCAAAATTATTTCACTCAGTTTCGTTTCCTCAAAGCGTATGAATACAAAAGTTTATAAAAGAAATTACGTTCACAAATCACTTATTGCTTCATATAATAATCAACCTAAAGTACTGAATAATTGGTTGCAGTTTATCAATTTAACCAATTTCAGTTTTGAAGCAATATAAGGAATTAGAATTTGGATCACTGTAGAAGCATAAAATTTGCTTGTTAAATATATGATATAATGAGACAATATTATTTACTGAATAGCATTTATGGCAAAATATTCTATTTATTGTCATTTTCATGAAATCATTCCGGAAAGAAATTTTGTTTTGATTGGCTTAATGTTCAGTAACTGGTAGAGATTTGTTAACATTGGTATTAGTAATATGTACTAAACTACAATTATTTATGAACTGATTTTTTGAATCTGTTGTCTGTTTTACTATGAAATTAATCCAAAACTATCATCAAAGAAATCGAGACATTTGACTAACTCTGTATGATATACAGCGTAAATATCAGAATTTATTGACATTTATTACTTTCTGGAACGAAAGTAACATTAGCAATATGTGACACACTGAAATAAACTTAATAATCAGTTGCTGCACGTTGGAGACATTTATTTACAATTTTTCGCTTATCAATCTCGAAGTGGACAGGTTGTTTTCTGTATTTTCAAGTGTACATTGGTGCTTGGAAACAAGTTTAAACTCTAGATTCTGTATAGACAGATTGAATTATGACTTTGAAATAAGAGGAAATTACAGGAACTCATGGGGAACTTAATATATCATGTTGGATTTCAGAGATTCCAGACTCCCTAAACATTCCACATCGATAATGTCTGTACACCCTGTAGGTCATTGATAGAAAAGTCAGTATAAGTAAAAATGGAACAATATATTTGTTTGAATACAACAGCCAACGATGGCCCAATCGGTAAGCCATTAAGAACGGGCGTAAAAAATGTCACCTGTGAACAATGGTCTATCAAAAATAATGTGAATGCTTAACTGTGCACTTTCGGTTAAATTCATTAATTGGAACTCAACTTCTCAGATGCTCGAACTCACGAGGATGCAAGCTATCATACCTATAATCTTCAGGTTATGCATCGAGTACAATATAGTTGATCCGCATCTAAAACTTCAGGCAATATGTAATCCACTGTTAGTATCGGTCTCACTTCCATGGTTACTCTCAGATCAATACATAAAAATATACAGTGTTCTCTGAAAAGTGAGTTTCATGAAGACGACTGCCGAAAATCTGTAATAAAAAAGGTGATAATTTAACTCCAAATGGCTAACGAAAACTAATAAAAGTTCAATGTTAACCACCAAGTTGAAAAGTACTATTTATCATACAACAGTCCACAGTGTCTAATGTTAAACATTTTTCTGATAAACTCTAGTTGTTAATCTTTTCTACAATGTATTTTCTGTAATTTTCGATGTAATTTACAATACAATAGATTAGTTCTGTATATTATTACATGACTTGAGTACATCTGATATTTTTATTTCAGAATAATGAAATACTTTTAATTAGATTTAGTATATCACTATTGTTTTAGTTCAGCTTATTCCTGAATAGTTTCTTTTTTTCACCTATTGTATTAGTTGACATCAATTAAACGACATTTTCTGACTACCAGTAAATCATAAATGTCAGTATATTTCACAGCGTACAATTTTCATTACTGATTATTCATTCATAATGCAAATATCAACACCAATTAGCTGAGTTAATTAATCAGAGAATGGAATACTTGAAATTGATTTCATCGACACGAATATTATTAATCTTGTTCTAAATATCAGACATTATTATATTGCTATTTGGTCCTATGTATTCATATCATATTACCACTAGTTAATTAATGTGTGAAGGACACTTTTTTTTCCATTAAGTAATTTTACTCCAAATTGAATTGTTTCAATTCTATATGTGGATTTAATTTTCTCAACTACAAATCATCCTTATTTTAAACCCAACTTCAAATCTGGTGATTAATTTCTGAAGATTAATGAAAATTTCAGTGTTAAAATATTCATTTCGAACATATTTTTCAAGCTTTTATAAGCTTGCTTATAAATTTTTTCCTCAACAATAAGAGTGATGACATGCTAACATTCAGCGCAATATAATATTCAAATCCAAGCACCATTGGAAAGTAAGTTATTAGGAGTTAAATTAAATAGCAAAAAATTTAACTTTCTTACAGAAATAAATGTTATAAATCTTTGATATGTAACAGAATGTGAGACTATTTCTCAGAGTTCAGAAAGCCTTTTTAGTCGAGAAAAGAGAGTATAAGGAAAGTGTAACTGTGAGAAAAAACGCCACTGTATATACGCTTACAATTTAGAGGCAATGCACTCAGCGAAATGCTAATATTGAAGTTACACAGAGCAATCTAAAGAACTTTTGATGAAGATAAACTACGATTATTGTTTTCTACTCATCCGATGACCACTCTTGGATCGAAAGATAAATTACCTAGACTAGCCACATCTTTCTGTATCCATCAATTCAACTGCTCTTGTGGAGCAAGGTTTATTGACAGGTGTTCTAGGAATTTGTATTTTCGGGCTCCCGAATATCTCCTATTGTGGTCAACTAAAGGTATAGTTCAAAATGTTAACAGCAAGTTTTAAGCTCATTTAGTACAAACCATACAGCCAACATGAAACAATCATTCACAAGGTGGTGTGTGCTGCTTATATTGACATAAGTAGTAGATGATGTTTGTCGTGAACAGAATGTCTGGCAGCAGAGAGACAAGAGGATCGAACAGTAATGAATAGAAACAGAATGCAATCTGTATGAAAATGCAAGAACAATGAAGTCTGAGTCATTATGAGACAATTGATGGACATTTTGCAAATTACTTATTTACTATTTGATTGTTAGAATTTGTTAACAAGTCCTGTAATTTTATGCCAAATACCTTCGATTGTCCCCATTCGGGTTCTGTTCACTACAACAATAATATATCATATTAACAGCAAGTTACCTGAATCCGTCAGACTAATAACCCTACAGAAGCCTGAAGCGATAGCTATTCGGATAAAAAAGCTGGAGCTTTATATCCATACGGAAAATGTTTGACCCACTTCTGGCCTAATTAGTTAATAGTCATTTTTATGGTATGGTGATGCAATTGTTAGGCCTTTGCCTCGGTAATTACCACGTGACAACATCGTCAGTCACAACACCGACCTATATGGCTTTGGCCCTGTGCCAAACCAATGACGTATTAACCAGCACGAGCAGCTTAGAGTCAACTCTGAGTCCTTATTAGTTCTTCTTGCCTAGTCTTGACCGTTCAGTCCAGAACACAATATAAGCCTCCACTGTATGAATGGTATATTTCAGGCACACTTGGCTTATACACAAACAGACCAGACCTCATCACACCATGAAGTGCAACATATTAGTTATACAACATCATGCCAAAAATGCCTGTGAGTATGGAATACTGTAACTATTAAATTGGGAATATGTTAAGAATGGTAAGTTGTATAGCACTGGTCAGTAGGTCAAATGAATACCTGATGAGAATATTTGTAATAATAGTCTATAAGTGATTCTAAGCAGTTACTACTCATTTATTCTTCGTTAGGATAAAACAGTAATTTGACTAATGTTCATTTTCATAACTTAAACTTATTTTATTCACACAGCTTATCAACGTTATCATTACTATCATAACATTTGCAAACGCTTTAAGAAATTTATTCAGCATCCATCCCTACTTACTAATTCGTACGCAATTCATACTCTTCTACATATTACGTCATTTCCGATGTGCAATTACATTATTATCTCTCTCATCCCAACATTAACAATTTGGTTTAAATCATGAATCAATTGAAGCTAGACCATCATGGAAAACCTGGAAGCACTGGACCGCCGTCTCGTCCTAGTATGGGACTCCTCAGCAGTGCACATCCACGATCCCGCACCCCGCGAGATTCGTGCCTGGCGCGAGACTGATAGGTCCTGGGTTCGAATCCTGCGGGATGCAGGATCGTGGATGTGCACTGCTGAGGAGTCCCATACTAGGACGAGACGGCGGTCCAGTGCTTCCAGGTTTTCCATGATGGTCTAGCTTCAATTGACTCATGATTTCAATAAAAAACTTAACAATTTCCACAACCCTTAAACTGATAATTAACGATTTGGTTTGATTTTATAATACGAATAATCTTTGATTCACATATTATAATTTTAAATGATGTACTTTGTTTTAAACCTGGTCAACATTTTGGGTGATTAATTTAGTTATATAATTGTAGAACATGATGAGAAATTATTGAAATGAATTTTCTTTGTTCATATTAACTGTATTTTAATATAATAGGAATTTTTCAGCTATTTAACAATTGTCTTGAGAATTTTTAGAACAATATATATAAGCGAACAATATTGTTTTCGATTAGATCCTCATCAGTTATTACTCTAATATACAGTGATATATATATATATATATATAATATGCATGCTCGGTTCTATCACACTTGATCGATAGCGGTCATGTAGTGGACAGAAACAAGTCATTTAAAGTTATTTATCGTATTCCCACTAGTTTCCCTTATGGTATTCAATCTCGTCTCTTACACATAGCAAAAGCTATAGGAATTCGAGCCAACAAGCCAAGTCTTTGTGTTCAGAAGATATCTGTAACATCCCTATCTCTCCCCTGGCCTTAATAAATGAATTCATTTATTATTTTTCAAGCGTTTTCTTCGTTTATTATTTTTCTTCACCCCTCCTACCATTTTATTTTATTTTCTCTCAAATATACGTTTAACGGTCCAATTATCTGAACACTTCTTATTACTTCATCTTATAATTTGATAAATGTTATCTCACTGTCTATATTCTTCTAATCATTGACCTATTTCCGATGATGTAATGAGTTGTCGTGGAGTTAAGTTTGGTGCTAAAAGAAGATAAACAGTTGTGATCAATTGAGTACAGTTGAAAAGCATTACCACAGATTGTAATGGTTTTCGCTTCTACGAACCATTAACATCGAGTTCTCTAAGACTATTTAAAATTGGTTCCCTAATCCCGACTCAGCATTTCGAAAAGATCAGACTTATGCGTCCTATTTTATAACATTCAAGCTTTAAAACTCATTCGACTATATATATAATACTAAATGTAAGGAATAAAACGCTGTTGTCTATGGATATGCCGTAATAAGTTTTCCTTGTTATCATTGATTCATAAACTACCTTGATTGGTTTAATAATTTCGTATATGCATATAAATATTACTGTATATTAGAATAAAGCCTGATGAGGATCTAATCGAAAACAATATTGTTCGCTTATATCTATGTTGTTCTAAATTTACAACATGGGAATATTTCAAATTTAGAATTTTTAACAAAATTGAAATAGGAATGAAATTCAAATCATACTTGTCGCCTAATTTTTGTCAAACTATTCGTTTTAATGTTGACGAATATTTGTTATAAATAAAATTTGGATTTTAAAATTTCTTTTAAGATATACTTGATCATCTGGATAATTCTATTGATAGGATCAAATAATTTATTGGCTTATGTTTTTTTGTAATGACTTTACGAAAAAATATATGTAGGTTTAGCCAAACAATTTTATTACTAATGCAGAGGTTCGGCATCGTGTGTTCGGGCACAGAGACGATAATGCAATTGGTGTCACCATCTTGAAACACCGACTTCGGTGGCTTGGACATGCTCTGCGAATGTCATCCCAGATAATTCCACGTTGTGCATTATTTGCCGACTCTAGGACTGCTTTTGTGGCGCATATGTATTTGGTGCCCTCTTGTACCAATATTTAAATGTTCAAATAAATAAATAATAAATAAATGTTTGATTGGCCAAAATGATAAGAGAACATAAATTTATCTAAGTTTAAAATAATTTATTTTACTCAGGCAGTTGTTTATTGAAAAGCTTATCTATCACCAGTGATTTTACTTACCTGGTATATTCAAACAAAGTAAAATCTAAATATATTTAGGTTGTTTAATAGTTGCTTGTTATTAAATCTTTGTTCTATGTGATATATTAAAGTAATATATTTCGAACAATCTAATTGGTCTTTTATTTTTACATATAAATGTTCTTAACAAGTATATCATGTGTGATCAGATTGTTCGAAATGTATTGCGCTAATACATCATCACAATAGTTCTGATAATCTTTGTCTTCTTATTGCATGATCGAAATCTTTGTTCATCGATTTAGCCTTTGTTATACGCAACTGAAATTAGATGAAATACTGTCACCAGAATTAGGATCACAAAATCAATCTTTGAGTTTATCTAACTATCTTGAAGTTATTATAAGCAAGAAATTTTATGAAAAATCTTATGTTTCTAAATAAAATATTATCATTTTAGTACTATTTCTGTTAAACAATATTAAAATAAAACAAATTGAACTGAAAATAGAAAATTCAACAAAATAAGAAATTAAACATGTTTACTTGATAACTTTAAGAAATAATTCTTGATTAAAATTATTAAAATGCCAATAAACGGAATCCTCAACAACTCCGTCAGTTGAAAGACAGAATATCGAAAGTACAATTACCTCCCCCCACCCAAAAAAGTCAACTGATGTTGTACTTCTTCCCAGAATCCCATTTGATTCCTGTACATTTGCTAACTTACATAATGATGGAAAAGTGTTGTTAGATTGAACTCCAGAAACTCTTTAAATGAACTTCAATTTTCTATACTTCTTGTTAGACAGTCTATATATGGCATATCAATTAAGACCTTGTGGCTAGAATGCAATGAAAAGTAAGACTATGTGATGATTTTACATAACGTATATGTCTTCTATGGTTTTTAATCAGCTTTTATTACTTGTAACCAAACCATTTTTGTCATAAAACATCATTCATTCGAAATATCTTATCGGTTCAAAAATACTCTTATAAACCGTTTCTCACAGCTTTTACAATATATGTATGTAGACTAACTAAAATATCGAGGAACAGCATCATGAGATAACGATTTAGAAATCTTCTAAGTGAAATCCTTAACATGTTCAAGTAATTTAAAGAACACAAGATATTTATTATTTAGTTTGTCAGTAATCATATGATATAATCTAAATTTTCTATTGAACAAAGGCATGAGAGACTAATTCGTGCAAAAATCAAAAGCTTTTATCCTAATTCGGATTGATTTGGGAGTATAATATAATTATACCAAAATAAATTATTGATAAAATCCTGCAGGAAACGGATATCTGTATCAAGTAATTTTATCAATAAGCTTAAATTTATAAAAATAAAAGAACCCTTTTTATTCTGATATTCTACTGTGTTAACGAATATGTTATGTCGTTTGAGTCAATTAGTTATAAGCAAAGTAGAACATGGGAAATATGTTTATTGATTGATTCAAGTTGCCACACCAGGTTAACATAACGATTTGATGTTGTTAAGAAAAATGTCAGGGTAGTAGAAGTAATAACTATCAGTGATAGTAGAAAAGATTAGATATAAACAAAATGCTACGAAGAAAAATTTGTATTCGTGGAACAATAAGCATAAGATAATTTTCGACTCACGACCTCAGAGAAAATATAAGTGATTGAATCTGCACTACAGCGACCGATTTTAATCTCTATCACTTAACGTCTCCAATCATTGGTTACAATAATCGCATAAAACCTAACGAGGTAGTTTGTACTTATTAACGTGGTTCAATCCAACTTTTACTGACTTCATAATCTGATACCAAGTATTTATATGACTGCCCCTAGCTTTTTTTTCAGTCTACTCATACGCCAGCACACATCATGCATCGAGGTAGGTGATGTTTGGGCATATGTAATGCATGACCTAACTACCTCAGTTGATGAAGATTAACTACCCCATCAAGCAATCTATCATTTCTTTTTGATCAACTTCGATAGTGCATTTTACGACTGAATATAAAAATAAATATCAATCATATGATTATGAATTAATTAACATTACATTATGAATATGTAGTGCTATTTATAACAGTAAAATAATAGTAAGTAAACCATAAAACAGACAATAAAAATATTGTTCCATTATAAACTGATTACATAATTATGAGAATCAGAAATGAAAAAAAGAATCTAAACAGGAATTCTTAATGTCTTGTTAAATTATCCTATAAAATGATCCAAGATTTTTAAAAAAGATACAATACAAAACTTTTAACGGATGCATAATTTAAGTTTGTTTGTTTTTTATACAAATTTTTGTAGCATTCACTGTATATAAAAGTTAAAGTCATACATAACCATACAATATAATAGATGAGTTTCAATAGGATAGTTATTTTCTATATTTCCATTATATTGAATTAATTTTCAATATCAATTAAATATACAAAAAAATAGAGTTTCATTTTGAAAATAAATTCAAGTATAATAATGAATTTAAGTAAGTTGGTTTATTGATTTTTTTTTCATTTTTTGTAACTTCACATATTAGTTGTTAAGTAGAAAAATAAAATCGATTTCACCATCGAGATAATCATCATGTTTGATCTCGTTTTCTTTTCTTTTTTTCTTTTCTATTTTTTGATAAATGTTAATTTGTAAAATCAACAAATAACATTTATGCAAAAATACAATAAATAAACGAAATACTTGTATATCAAATATACATATTTTTTGAAAATTGTTATTGTCATTGTTGACAAAAACAAATATCTTGTATACCAATATGATTTGTTCTACAAATAGATAATTTCCATGGTGATAAATTATTTAAATAAAGACTAGAGCGCAAATAAGTGATATATATATATATATATATATATATATATATATATATATATATATATATATATATATATATATATATATATATATATATATATATATATATATATACAGTATGAATATTCCCTTTTAACATGAGAATTTTTGAAAAGAGTGTATAGCTGGTTATTCCTAGGAACTAGTCATGTCAAAAACTTCACATTTAATTCTCAGTTTAATTCCCGAGTGCGGAATCGTAGGTGCACATTGCCGAAGAGTACTGTACTAGGACGAAAAATTCTTTCAGTGCTTTCAGGTTTTCAGTGATGGTCTAATTTAGATCGTTTTGCGATTTCAGTGAAATTCAACAATTTTTACAACCCCATACTGAAAAATATTATGATCAAGTTTAATTTATGATTGTGTAATGTAGATTTAGTACGTATCAATTCAATTTGGTTTAGATTGAAACCGATGTAGGTTGTGGCTGGATGTAATCAATATGAAATCCTGGACTTGGGTTTCGTGTTGTTTTACATTCGTTAGCAAGGTTTACTTGTAGTTGTACCTGGTTACTATCAGGTAATCAAACTATTGGAAACCGATAAAACTTATTTCACAGACAAAATTTTATAGTAGCGCTTATTGACATGATTCTAAAATAAATTTCTTAGTCTTCTTTTTTTGAAGTATGTAGTGATTTTGTTTAGAAAGACAATAAGGTTTAAAGGTTAAATCACCCATCTCACACTCTACAACATCCCCAAAACATATATTTATATATATCCTTATGTATAATCGAATTGTCTTGTGATTTTAACCGTTTCTCCTATAAAATCCTACTTTAGGGTAATACTCATTACAGTACAAATCGTACCACTCCGTTTGGACGTAATGCTGCTTTTACAACACCGATTGATCAATATTTGAATAGTCGGATGCCATGTGAAATGCAAGTATATTCACGTTAAAAAAATAATAACAAGAAGTTAAATGAGGCAGTTGCCTCTATTTATTTATACCATTTATTTATAACTATGCATCATTTTACCATAATAAAGCAAAATAATTATACTGCTCTAATTTTTCGGAGTAATTCATTGTATTGTATGCTAAGATTGGTATATATGAAAAGAATATGTGAGATCGTAATGAAAAAAACTATCATTTAACTATTCAGTTTACTTTAACACTAAAACCGACTGAGGGGCATATAAGAGAATATTTGATGGGCCTCGGAAACAACGGGACGTTTGTTCAACATTCAATTACCAGGTACAACTAAACAAATGAAATTATATGAAAAATATAGAGTTTACCACTAAATTCAGGTTAAAAGTTTGTAAATGATGAGTTATTTTTCATTTAAAACTCATAAACAGAAGAACAACTGTCAGTCTGAACACGAAACTGGAATTAAAAGAAAAGCTAGGATATGGTGAAGGGTAAACGATAAAAACATTCGCATTCATATTCAAAACAGCGGGATAATTTGGAAGCATAAAAAACAAACGAAATAACTCGAACGACAGGTATCGAGCTAAAACCCCTTATCTACTATGATCAACAAAAAGCCGGGTGATAAAAGCGAAAATCAGAAAAGACGCTTAGCAACTCAGTGTCCAACTCCGATTTAATCAAATGATTATGCTTACGAAATGTAGGTCCCGGCTTCCCTCGTATATAACTATCAACTTAGTTCACGTAATTAAATAACGGAATAAAATAAAATAAATGCGAGAATAAATCTTAGATACGTGTATTTCACACACTTCATAAATCAGATAGACAATGAGAGAAACGAATCCAGGAAGCAGACAACAGAAGACAAGTGTGCCAACTCAAATGAATTAAGGGTGAAAATATTATATCTAGATAAAAATAAGACCAAGATGTGATGAATAGATAGAGCGACACACACAGAAACGCACATAAAAAGTTAAACTATTTGGCGAGTAAACGACAAGGTTAAAATATGACCAAAGGCGAATAACTTAGCAGATACTCAAGCAATCGTAAAAATAAGAGCACGAAAAAGTACCAGAGAAAACATGGAGCGAAATAAGGAAAAGGAGGAGATCGTTGAAAATTAAGACAAAACATAGATAAAAAGTAACGAACAGGGGGAAAAGAATGAAAGGAGAGACGGAAAACTTAACCAATGTACTTTAGCATATTAGAAGAGTGAACAAGAGTAAAATACAATAGCAAAATTTCCGGAACAAGGTCATCGTTCAGTAAAAGATTAGCCGAATTTAGATCGCCATGTATTCCACATTAAAATAACGGAAATAATTTGAAATATATTAGTCTGTCTTCATAAGATAGGCCAGAAAGATTGTTCACCACTATAATCCCTCGCAGTAAAACTAATTCCAGCATATCTGCCTCATACGTGAAATAAGGACTCGCTGCTTTTAAATATGGTCTCACGAAAGTCGGGTATGAAATCTAAATATTTCGTCATCAAAATATAGAAAAGACAAACGCATAGCCCAATATACTACATAGCATTTGCAGCAGCACTAAAGTTAGTAAAACAATGGAGTCACAGTTCAATAAGAAAAAAAAACATTTAAAGGATACAAAATTTCCAAAAAGAAAACACATCATGAATAATCAAAGAAATCGAAGAAGAAATTGAATCGTAATTATAAATATCGATAACGAGATTGGAGATGTTAACAAAAAAAACATAACAAATTTAGTAGAAAAGAAAACTCCATAACAATACACATCACAGAATAAGTTTCTCTGAAAACAAATCAAAAATGATTACCAGTCGACATTCATTCATTCATTCATTCATTCATTCATTCGTTCATTCATGCATCCATCAATGTTTGACGGATCCTGCATGTATTTTATTGTCGAGCAGTGAGAGATGCACGTAATCTGTATGATGCTGGAAACCACACAATCGTACTCCGAGACACAACTGATCAAGTGAATCTCTCACCATATCAATGATCCAACGACTGACAAGCAGTCTGGACTTCGTGTGTGCGTGTGGCTACGCAGAACCAGGTTGTCTGATCAGTGATGAGTATGTCAGTAGATTGTATAGTTTTGCTTAAATTGAAGAAAGTTTTCACGACTGGATCATTCGAAGGTGGTGTCTCCTTCTGAAGAAGTCGTCAAGACTAGTGTCGTCGAGACTAGTGTGGCCACCGATGTCGGTTGATGTGGACGGTTCGACAGCCTCGTGGTGGATGCGACACTGGTGGTCTAGTGATCGGTGAGTGCTGGGAATCTCAGGGAATCGAGTGTAACGCGAAGGATGCAGTTAAACTTGTGTGTCTTCCTAAATATTGTTTGGTTGTTCGTCACAGTTATTAATTTGTATTTGGATGTGGGCAGTTTTGTGGTGGGTGGTATGTAGGTTCGGTGAAGAGGTGTGAATGAGCGAGAATGGTGTGAGTTGGTGGTTGTGTTGTTGGGTGTTGATGATGCGGTGCTGAGTGTTAGATGGAGCGAGATGTTGACGCGAATTCGGGTTCGGTGGTGTAGTGGTTATCATGTCTGCTTTACACGCAGAAGGTCTCCGGTTCGAACCCGGGCCGAACCTGTCCACGCAAATCACGAACTACACTCCTCACAGTGGAGACGTATCATACTCACCGACACTGCCAACAGTGTCCTTTTAACAAGCTGACGCCGTCAGAGACATCCACGTCGGCCGTGCTCACCACGAGTACGCCGATGTGTGGTTGGCGTCCGACTGTCGACACGATGACTGGTAGTTCTGTGATCACCCGTGTCAAGCGGCCACGTGGATGCAATCTTTCGAGTGAAGTCGGATAGACCAGTTCCCTGATTGAACAGTCCACGTCACCTACTGTCACACTTTGATATCCAACTGTGAGGAGCACTGGACGCCATTAAACAAGTGAGACGATTCATCAATTCCCGTGCCTCACTCACCATGAACTACAGACAAGGAGCTGACACATTGTCGGACAAACACATGGAGAGGAACACGGAAGCGCTGAATAATTGAACAAATATCCGATTCACGTAATGACGGACTGATTGTACAAGTGTGGTTGTGTGATCTGTTTAGTCTTCGACTATCAGACTCAATGTGCAGAGTAGACAGTGTGATGAGTTGGTGAGGCTGAAGTCGAGTGTAGGAAGGATGGACTGCTGATATGAGTGTCGATTTCTGTGACAACACATCACAAATGATTCCCAGTCGACATTCATATCATTCATTCATTCATTCATTCATTCATTCATTCATTCATTCGTTCATTCATGCATCCATCAATGTTTGACGGATCCTGCATGTATTTTATTGTCGAGCAGTGAGAGATGCACGTAATCTATATGATGCTGGAAACCACACAATCGTACTCCGAGACACAACTGATCAAGTGAATCTCTCACCATATCAATGATCCAACGACTGACAAGCAGTCTGGACTTCGTGTGTGCGTGTGGCTACGCAGAACCAGGTTGTCTGATCAGTGATGAGTATGTCAGTAGATTGTATAGTTTTGCTTAAATTGAAGAAAGTTTTCACGACTGGATCATTCGAAGGTGGTGTCTCCTTCTGAAGAAGTCGTCAAGACTAGTGTCGTCGAGACTAGTGTGGCCACCGATGTCGGTTTATGTGGACGGTTCGACAGCCTCGTGGTGGATGCGACACTGGTGGTCTAGTGATCGGTGAGTGCTGGGAACCTCAGGGAATCGAGTGTAACGCGAAGGATGCAGTTAGACTTGTGTGTCTTCCTAAATATTGTTTGGTTGTTCGTCACAGTTATTAATTTGTATTTGGATGTGGGCAGTTTTGTGGTGGGTGGTATGTAGGTTCGGTGAAGAGGTGTGAATGAGCGAGAATGGTGTGAGTTGGTGGTTGTGTTGTTGGGTGTTGATGATGCGGTGCTGAGTGTTAGATGGAGCGAGATGTTGACGCGAATTCGGGTTCGGTGGTGTAGTGGTTATCATGTCTGCTTTACACGCAGAAGGTCCCCGGTTCGAACCCGGGCCGAACCAGGATTTTGACAAATAACACCTGTCCACGCAAATCACGAACTACACTCCTCACAGTGGAGACGTATCATACTCACCGACACTGCCAACAGTGTCCTTTTAACAAGCTGACGCCGTCAGAGACATCCACGTCGGCCGTGCTCACCACGAGTACGCCGATGTGTCGTTGGCGTCCGACTGTCGACACGATGACTGGTAGTTCTGTGATCACCCGTGTCAAGCGGCCACGTGGATGCAATCTTTCGAGTGAAGTCGGATAGACCAGTTCCCTGATTGAACAGTCCACGTCACCTACTATCACACTTTGATATCCAACTGTGAGGAGCACTGGACGCCATTAAACAAGTGAGACGATTCATCAATTCCCGTGCCTCACTCACCATGAACTACAGACAAGGAGCTGACACATTGTCGGACAAACACATGGAGAGGAACACGGAAGCGCTGAATAATTGAACAAATATCCGATTCACGTAATGACGGACTGATTGTACAAGTGTGGTTGTGTGATCTGTTTAGTCTTCGACTATCAGACTCAATGTGCAGAGTAGACAGTGTGATGAGTTGGTGAGGCTGAAGTCGAGTGTAGGAAGGATGGACTGCTGATATGAGTGTCGATTTCTGTGACAACACATCACAAATGATTCCCAGTCGACATTCATTCATTCATTCATTCGTTCATTCATGCATCCATCAATGTTTGACGGATCCTGCATGTATTTTATTGTCGAGCAGTGAGAGATGCACGTAATCTGTATGATGCTGGAAACCACACAATCGTACTCCGAGACACAACTGATCAAGTGAATCTCTCACCATATCAATGATCCAACGACTGACAAGCAGTCTGGACTTCGTGTGTGCGTGTGGCTACGCAGAACCAGGTTGTCTGATCAGTGATGAGTATGTCAGTAGATTGTATAGTTTTGCTTAAATTGAAGAAAGTTTTCACGACTGGATCATTCGAAGGTGGTGTCTCCTTCTGAAGAAGTCGTCAAGACTAGTGTCGTCGAGACTAGTGTGGCCACCGATGTCGGTTGATGTGGACGGTTCGACAGCCTCGTGGTGGATGCGACACTGGTGGTCTAGTGATCGGTGAGTGCTGGGAATCTCAGGGAATCGAGTGTAACGCGAAGGATGCAGTTAGACTTGTGTGTCTTCCTAAATATTGTTTGGTTGTTCGTCACAGTTATTAATTTGTATTTGGATGTGGGCAGTTTTGTGGTGGGTGGTATGTAGGTTCGGTGAAGAGGTGTGAATGAGCGAGAATGGTGTGAGTTGGTGGTTGTGTTGTTGGGTGTTGATGATGCGGTGCTGAGTGTTAGATGGAGCGAGA